CGCCGGTGTGCCTGGCCGCCCTCCACGCCGGCGTCCTGCAGGCTGGGGAGGACAATGAGGTCCTCTTCAGGTCCCTGGAGGTCACCGAGAGCTTCGTGGGCACAGTCCGCAATCGCGTCGTGTCGCAATCTAGGGAAGTGGAGTAAGTTGAGCCGCAGTTAAATCATCTGCGGAACATCGTTTAGGAAAATAGTAGAGCTGTTGCATACTAGTTTAGATTTATTGCTCATTACTGGGGGCAACAGCCACCGCCCTGATATAATTCCAACGTCTTGCCATTTTGAAAGTCAAGCAACTGAAACCATACCTCAAGATCAATGTATATCATTATATAGAATCATTATGATTATATCAATGTAGATATGTATATATGTAGTATGTATATCAATGTAGAATCATTACGATTCTAATCGTCATTATTATTTAATCTGGGATAATCTTAGGTATCAATCAATAATATATCTTTTTCCAAGTACTAAAAATTATGCTGGAAAACCTGCATATGACCCAGACTCAAACCTTTTTTCTTTACCAATAGCACAATATAGAGTTACTGATTTTATTCCGTGTCTCCAACCTGCAAGCAATCCCATGCCAAGTTTAAAATGAATTTCTTATTGGTTTCATTTCCCAGGCCTGGTCAACCTCTACGTGCCTTCGCCTTCTCAGGCGCTTCCTCCCAAACACCCTCAGGTGAGGTCGGCAGTGAGGGCAAACTTTTGTCAATTGTTGACGCTCCGAGTATGAACGCGTTCAAGAACAGACTAGACAAGGCCATGCAGGAGCATATGTTTAGTCTTGAAATGCCTCGTATCCTACGGAACAGCTGAAATCTAGAAGCGATTTTAAATCTACCGTCCGTTGAAAAGATTTGATCAAAAGGCCAGTCTAGCCAAGAAAAGTACAAGAATCGGCGACAGGTCTATTCTTCAATGCCGAAGATACTATACTATACTATATTAATAGATTTTTTTTACATGAAATTTTTACATCTGCTAATGAATTGAGAGATATATATCACTAGGGCCGACTCATTGCCTACTTTGAACTTGTCATTCATTGAACTAACATTTGCTGGGAAATAAACTAACATCACTGCAATCATTTGAATTGTTCAGAGGCATGTTAAGGTAAACACTTCGGCTAGTAAAACAAAGGTCATCCATTAACATATCAATGAAATTTACTTTCAACTTGTTATATTTTAAATATTTGATTGTTTGTCCTTTAATAAGAAAATTTCAATGATCATGTCTTTCGGAGAGTAAACCTAGTAATTCTACATCTAATATATTGCAAAATCTCAAAACACGATTATTTGATTGATGTAATTCCTACATGCATTTTTCACGATTCTCATTATGTACTTATCTCGTCCATCAGAAGCAAAGCTGGCAGGCGCGGCGGTTATCGTGGTTCACGACGACTTTAAATATAATGTTTCATGCATCCCCTCATCGAGTGACGCACGTTTGCCACATCCGTATTTCACTCGCTGGGACTACACGCCTGTCACGGCCAGCCCATCTGTTGTGATCACGTCTGAGCCCAACTACCTGCAAGCGTCCTTCGAAGACGTCCCTGACCCTCTGGTGCTGCGGTGCCTCAGCGACGAGCCCGAGCGTGACGTGACTGCCATCGCCGGTAAGTTTGGAGGACAGTGGTCAGTCCTGCAATCTACTAAACACTGAAATACAGAACACGGAATCGCCGACCGTGCGTGACGCTGATGTCCCGCTTCTGTTCATCGGCGATTCGCGCCTGGCACGCAGACGATGACTGCATGGCCGCCAGCCCGCTTTATTACGAGAACCTCTTGGCGTTGTCACTAATGCATTGACTCTGGCGGCCACACTTAATTGTATGCCCGCTCATTTGCCTGTTTATACATTCTTAGCATGGAAATTTGCACCTGGCATCAAACGGCTTGTCTACTCTGCTTTTTCTTTGGTAATATCGAAAATAGAATACTAAGAAACTGGTTGGAATTAAGTCAGGAATGAAAATGAAATAACATGGATTCATCATAGCTTCTTTAATTTATTTTTCAGACTACTACGCACCCACTCTCCTGACGGTGACCAGGAGCGTGGGCGAGGATTTCATCTGGGAGAATATCCCTGAAGGTGCGATTGTAAACAGAGTCCCCGCAGTGGCGGGTGAAGTGACGAAAGCTCTGAGGAACCTGACGGTGCAAGACGCTGGCCTCTACAGTTTTGAAGTCAAAAAAGCCACTGATGCAGTCAAGCATTTCCGCAGACTCATCGTGAGAAGTGAGTTATAACAAGAGCTGGTGACTACTGATAAGCTTTTATTTGTATCAACAGATAAATATTGAGGTCTTTCAGGGCGCCTTTGACTGTAAGATGACTGGTGAATTACATAAGCCACCATTTACACCAACCATCACTAGCACCAGCTATAGCTGATGCCAACCCTAACTAGCCCCACTAACTAGCTTCATTCAGGTTGCCCCAAGCATCGCTTTGGTGTCGGCTGTGCCAAGTGGTGCCCAGACTGCCTCAACTCTGGGGAATGTCACCCTCGCTCTGGGGAATGCGTCTGTGCCCCCNGGCAGTGATGACTGGTGGCAGTGATGACTGGTGGCAGTGATGACTGGTGGAAGTGATGACTGGTGACAGTGATGACTGGTGACAGTGATGACTGGTGGCAGTGATGACTGGTGGCAGTGATGACTTGTGGCAGTGATGAACGGTTGCACTGATGAACATCAACCATCACCAGCACCAGCAATAGCTGATGCCAACCATAACTAGCCCCACTAACTAGCTTCATTCAGGTTGCCCCAAACATCGCTTTGGTGCCGGCTGTGCCAAGTGGTGCCCAGACTGCCTCAACTCTGGGGAGTGTCACCCTCGCTCTGGGGAATGCGTCTGTGCCCCCGGCACCTATGGGGACCGCTGCCAGCACTGTGAGTGTTGTCACC